TCAGCCTCATGGGTTTCCTGACTCTGCCGCTGCTGAATTCAGTTTCTCTTGTGCTCACCAGGTGCCAGGCCCTGAAGCGACCCGCCGCACCAGGGTGACCGTGGCCGTGGTGGACACGTTCGTGTGGCAGGCTCTGGCCTCTGTGGCCATCCCAGGCTTCACCATCAACCGTGTGTGCGCGGCCTCTCTCTACGTCCTGGGCACTGCCACCCGCTGGCCTCTGGCTGCCCGCAAGTGGACGTGGAGCCGCTGCTGAATTCAGTTTCTCTTGTGCTCACCAGGTGCCAGGCCCTGAAGCGACCCGCCGCACCAGGGTGACCGTGGCCGTGGTGGACACGTTCGTGTGGCAGGCTCTGGCCTCTGTGGCCATCCCAGGCTTCACCATCAACCGTGTGTGCGCGGCCTCTCTCTACGTCCTGGGCACTGCCACCCGCTGGCCTCTGGCTGCCCGCAAGTGGACCACCACTGCCCTGGGACTGCTGGTCATCCCCATCATCATCCACCCCATCGACAGGTGGGCACGGCTCCCAGCCTCAGGGTCATTTTCTCTGCAGATGGAGAGACGCCCTGAGAGCCAGGGGGTGTACCCACTTTGCACAGAACAATCGCAGCAAAGGCAGGGCTGGCACTCGGGGCTCCAGAGGTAGAAAGGACAGTCTTTGCCCTTGGCATATGATCTGGCAGGTATTTTGGCAGTAAAGGCAGAGGCCGGGGCTGCCTGGAGGCTATAGGACACAGAACTATTAAATTCCCAGAAAAAAAAAACAGGTAGTGTTACAAAACAACCAGAGAGGCAGGCGGGAGCCGGTGCACCTGGAGGGCGTTAGTGACAGAAGTAGGAATTGTTTTGTGAAACTGAAAAGTCATTAAGCTGCTTTCAGGCCTGGCTGGATCTAGGCACCCAAATGATGTCATTAGGGGGTCTGGGTCTCCCCACCTTGCTGCCCTTTTCTCCACCCCAACCCCCACATTGGCTTCACTCACACTTTTCCCTCATGGGAGCAGAGATGGCCCCCAGCAGCTCCCAGCTTCCATCCCATCAGCTTAGCAAGCCCCATGGGAATCTTCTTAATAGTGACAGCAAAAATCCCAAGGAAGGCTGTCATTGGTCCATTGTAAACTGGGTATCCACCCCTGAGCTAGTTGCCCTTCTCTGATTGGCCAGGCTTGGGTCATGTGCTTGCACTTAGAACCAGACATGGGGCCAGACCAACGTGGAGTGGGAGGAGTCTTTCTCCAATGGAACACAGCTGACCCCGAGGCCATGAGTGAGTCTTGTACCCTCTCTGTGCCTCGGTTGTCCTAACGGAATAAAGAAGAGGGTGATGGCCGCCACTTGGATGGCACCTGGGCCCTGCATCCAGAGAGTCCCTGCCCCTAGCCCTGACTTCCTGCCTCCCATTCCCCCATTGGTCACTTGTTCATCACCCTCCCTCGCCCCACAGGTCAGTGGACTTCCTCCTGGACTCCAGCCTGCGCAAGATCTACCCCTCAGTGGAGAAGCCCAGCTCCTCCTGACCACAGCCTGGCACCTGGCCCAGGGGTTGGCACACTCCCTGCTTTCCAACCTCCTCCTCCTGTCTGGGGATTCAGTGCTTGGCTCCTTGGGGTCGTAAGGCCCTGGCACCTGAGTGGCTGTGAACTGGATGAAAACAACGACAACGGCCTCAAGGAGCAGCAGCCGCAGCGACTCAGAGGCAAGCCCTGAACCCCGGAATTCGTGATACCGAGTGGCAGTGGGACTGAGTGGGCCCAGCTTTGTCTTTTTGACAGGAAAGCAACATCCTCCCATGGAGGAGAAGGGGACTGAGCCCAGAGAGGGCAAGGAATATGGCCACGATCACTTGGCAGGCTGGGGGCACAGGACTCCCAGCGGCTCAGCCAAGTCACCCCATGGCAGTGTGGCTGGACAGAGGAGCAGCGGGCACTGGGTGTGCCGCGGTGGGGGTCCCTGAGCCCTGAGTCTCTGGCCAGCCCATTCCCGGGGCACTAGGAGGCATGACAGCCCTGGTCTAATAAATCCTCAAGAAATTTCGTTTTCTTCTTCCCTGTTGGGGATGAGCAGGGATGTGGCGGCGGAGAGCAGGGCTGGGGGGCCCTCTGAGGCGGAGGCCGACTGCTCGGGCCAGGTAGCATTCACTGTGGCCAGCGCTGGGCCTTTCTGGTCCCTCCCCGCCCACCAGCGCCCCCTGCAGATTCCTGGGCGTCCACTTGGCGCTGCAGCCTCCTGCACCCACACCTCTGGAAGGGGAGGCCTCCCAGCCTGTAGGGTCACAGGTCAGACCCAGCCCCGGTCTGCTCTCCCCTCTCCAGAGGCAGCTGGGTAGGGAGAAGGAAAGGGCCTGGGAGGCAGCCCCTGCTTGTCCGGAGCCCTTGCTCCAGGTTGGGCACCCACTTGTGGCTGCTGTCCCAGCACCTGATGTTCGGGCTCAGGCCCTTGTCTCTCTTCCCTGGCTGCTCCCTCTCCCTCCAGTTGCTTCTGTCCCCAGTGCTCTACCCCTACATCTCCTATCTCTCCCCTCCAGGCCAGCATGAGGGCAGCGGCCTCTGGCTTGCCTCCCTCCAAGCTTCTCTCTTTGCCAACTACTTCTGAGACCGTCCAGAACCCAGCCCGGGCTCCTGCGTCAGGGTCTGCACAGCCTCACCCCCAATTTTCACTCCAGCTATTCTGTCCTTCCTGGTTTCCTGGATCTGGAGGTTCTTTCTCTTTTTTAAAAAAAATATATTTTTATTGATTTCAGAGAGGAAGGGAGTGGGAGAGAGAGATAGAAACATCAATGATGAGAGAGAATCATTGATTGGCTGCCTACTACCC